CACACATCTGTGCATCTGTCTGTCTGTCTGTCTATCTATCAGTCGATGAATGTGTGTATGCACACGAACCAGCATGATCCAGATGCCGTGCTAGCCTCCAGAACGCTTTGCTTTCTAGTTCTAGTTCTCCACATCAAAACCCCGACGGCTTGCCCACAAGCAAGGGCTAAAGCTCCTCCTCCTACCTAAAGGTTCATGGGACATAGTAGCTAGGGCTATAGATAAGATAACTGTACGTTATAATTAAAAAGTACAAAGAAGGTATAGAGAACTGTATCTGTATCTTATACTTAAGTAAATATAAGGGTACTTAGAAACAAGCCCCATGACCCTCCAGTGCCCGCCAGGCTTTGCGGCTGCAGAAGGAAGTTTCCACAGGTAAGAACCACAACCAGACGGAGCGGCTTGGGAGGGACAATTTGATGGGGATCTTTGAGGTGCTAGATTTCTGATGGTGTCCGGTTGAAGAAGAAGCTAATCCTATACTATTCTTATGGGGATTCTAGTCATGAGGGTCCTACATCAGGTCTCAGGGTTTAGGACGACTTTCTGGGCTTGGATTCTGAAAGGACTCAGGGCCACCTATGAAACTTTTTGTTGCATCAGCTAAGCTTCGAAGCTGTGGATGGGAGCCATTGGGAACAGGCTTTACCGCGCCTAAAGCGGGGTTCTCTTTACTTTAAAGGGACCTCAAACCCTACACCCCAATCCCTAAACCCTAGAGACTCAGACCCAAACCGGAAGACCATGAGAAGCCATAAGCGGAGTTCTTATTCAGACTGTCTTTGGAACGGGTATGCTGTGAAGCCCGTCTTCACCGGTGTTTCTTGAAACTGGAGGAGCTAAGAACAAGGAGACCCCCTAAACCCCGAACCCCTAAACCCCTAAACCCTAAACCCCCGAAGCCCTAAACCTTGTTTGGATGCCCGGGTGCCACCTCAGAACCCCTGCTCCGAACAGTTAGAGTCCAGCAGTTTTGAGTCCGAAGAATCCTTGTAGAGCCCAAAACCGTAAACCCTTGTCGGGCTCAAACACAGAATCCGGTGTAAAACCCACAGCTTGAGACACAGAAATGCGAGCCCTAAGCCGAGAATTCTTCCTAAACTCTAAACTCGTTGCATTCGTTACGCACCACCTTTTTCTGGCAGACAAGGCATCCCGAGCCCCAGAATGCCCTGCTCACAAGTAGTTCAGGCTTCAGGCATTTGGTCTTGAGGGCCCTTGTGTGCCATTTTCGGGACGGCTGGCTGAAGTTTGAGGTTTGAGGTATAGGGCCACCCGTTTAGACCACCAGCCCACCCTGGACCCTCTAGCGCTGCAGGACATGTGTACGCTCATGGCGCAAGACTTTGACGGCTGCTGCCCGGATGAAGGGGTTCAGGGGAAGTGTTGCGTTTCGGAAGTTGTGGACTAATAGTAGGGTGAAGTTGTGGTTTCGGGCTTTGTAAGTGTAGGGCTTTTCTTTAGGGTCTGGGGCTGGTATGAGGTCTACATCAACCCTAAGGGACCTACAGTTTTTTAGGGTTCCTTCATATGATTTCCTCATATGAGTCCTTTAAAAGGTAGGTTATTTGGGGCCCAGGTAGAGTCTAGGATTTATTGGTGTGTGTGTGTGTGTGTGGCCAAGGTTGCAAGACTCGAAGTTTCATGGATAGTTGTGAGTACTGTTAACTTTAGTCTCCTTAGGATTTTTTTTATTTTTCTTCATATAAAAACCCAAGAGAATATTGAGAAATTGTATTTTTTACTATGTTTCTAAGGGGTGCAATGCCATGCCTCCGGATCATGTAGATAGTGTCACCTTCGCTGATCACATGCGGCTTCAACACGCCCAGTCTTACAAGAGTGAACAGTGCCGAGCAGTTTTATATAAGTTGCTTAGCACTGGCTCTCTGACAACATTGCTCCAACATGTCCCGGTGTACAACCCCCACCTTGAAGCCCTGAAGCCACGACATCTGTCCTTGCCTTTGCTTACATTGCCTGTTTGCAAGGTGAGTCGTGACTTGCATGGCGTGGGACCCGCGGGCATCCGCGCTGTGTACCACGACAGATCACCCAACACCTAAATATTCTCGAAGGTTCTATGTTTGTGGGATGCTTGAAATTTTCGTTTTGGTATCATATGATGAAACAGAGCCTTATTCGAAAAGATTCTATTGAGAATTGATTCGGTTTTCTCGTTTGAATAGTTTGGTATATATATATATATATACCAATTATATTCATTGGTCTCGATAAAATCAAAATAATTCATATATTTCAATTTGACTTATAGAATTATTAATATATCTGTAATTGAATTTATGAATAATTAAAGTTCTCATATAAATAAGATTTACTTATGAAATTAAAGAATTTCTATACATACATATATATATATAAATTGAATTAAAATTTCTACTATTCAAAAAGATTTGTGATATTGATATATACTTATAATTGAAATAGTACTTCTTTTATATAGAACTTTTCTATATTTCAAGAATAGGTATATTTTGATTAGTTATAAATCGATCTTAAT